TATTAAAACCAAACGTCTAACTGTGCGCTAAATCCTTACATCCAGAAAGGCACAGACGGTCTCACGTTTTTTGAATAAAATAGTTAAAATAACCAGTGTCAGAATTTGAGAAAGGCCTATTTATGCTGCAAGCAGAAATAAAGACTAATGTTAATCTCAACAAAGTTACTGATCTACTCTCTTATGATATCAAAACCAGCCATAATTTTTTTACTGATGATAAATGCAAGACAAACCAAAAATAATACAATAAACAACAATTACATCATCACTTTTTCTCGTGTATTAGATCAAAGACATAATCACAGACATACATGGTGTCAAAACAGATAACATGCTTCTCATTGGCAGACAGCTTAATGGGAAAATGCCACTATGTTTTATTTAATTAATCACTTAATTTCACAACAATGGCAGCACCCAGTACGGCAGGCATTGAAAAAAACCCATGCAGTCGTCGAAACATCGAAAACAACCTGCAGTATCTACTAGAAACAACCAATCTACAATGATATCCTCAGCAGCAACCAGAAGATATTTATAAGATGCTGTTACAGATTTTATTTTAGAGAATTCAAAAATATTGTTAGCCTACATATCGACTAATACTCACTCGTTTATCACAATACCAACTTGATACCACAACAAAACTGACATTAAGCACAATCCTTTATTTAGAAACTATATAATTAAAACCCACAACTAGTTATTCAAATGCTAAACCAGTAAGCTTAAAGCCACAGCCTTAACATTCTTACACTACCAACACAGTAACATTAGCAGTTGTCTTTATAATGTCTACAGAAAGACAGACTGGCTGGTTTAGGTTTGTTTGGTATGTGCAACTCAGCAACTCAGCAACATATGCAATATGATGAACTGCATTTTTAAACAAAAAATGAAGGCAATGTGTGTTTCTAATTTTGGATAAAAACTCCAAACCACTCCTGAAGGTCTTTTTCATTTGATGTACAATGGCTGTCGTGGTGCTGGGGCAGCAGCAGTACTATTCACCGTGTTGATTTTCTGGTGTGCTTGCCAGAATACCGAAAAACTCCTCCTAGGGCTGGTGGTTATACCTTCAAACAGTCTACACCTATTATCGTGGCATTCTGTATTACCAAGGGGTGGATTTTCAAGCTATTTCAATAAATCTTAAGCCATCTAACAACTGCTAAATGTTAAAACGGTGCAACTAACTCAGAGACAGGGGCTGGTTAGCATTAGCTTTACTAGCATGATAACAGCTCTGCCCACAGAATATGTTTGATTCTGGCTCATTAAAGCACCGAGTTTACATGACATGACAATAATTAAAATCTGACAAAGTGAAATTGAACATCTGGTGGTTAACAGACAGAAAGGCGAAATTAAATGTTCTGTAGTGTTTGGATCGGCAGACTTATCAGCTAACTTAACAAGCAATTGGCAAGCAGGCTACAGTCCAAAACACACCACAGTACAGGTTTGATCCTGACTAACTGCTGTTCTGAAACAATTGTGTTGATGATTGTACAGATGAAATTAATGAGCGTAGATTAAATTAATGTCTGTGAGAACCAAAGTCGAGTCGAGTGACTGGTGCTGGAGTGACAGAAAGCCAAAATCTTATTCCGTGGTGTTAGTGGCTGTAGTCCTTTTGCTAAGCTAAACATGCCCAAACGTGCCATACACCACAGTACAGGCTTGGTTCCAGAGAAGCAATAATGAAACGACACCCATTTAGAGGACATTTAGGAGCGCAAAATCAACTGACTGGAGTTAAACTGAAAATCGAAATCAAGTATGTTCTCTGTAGCGTGTAGCACTGAGCTGATTCTATCAGCGCCACCTATCGGTGAGCTCCTCTAAAATATAAAAATGGGTGGATTGCATTTATTTGGCCATTCAGGCGTGGAATATAAATTTTTCACATCTTTTTGAAAGATCGTCGCGATTTTTAAAAACCGATTCTGTTTGTCCTCAAGATGGCGCCGCGAGGAGCCATCCTGCTGCAGCAGCTTGTGAATTTCCCTGTTGTGGGACTAATAAAGGATTATCTTATCTTTTGGCTTGACAAAGTAATAATGCTTTTGACATGCCTACTGTACAGTAACAACACTATAAACAGTCTGAATGTTTAAATGGGGTGTTCTGCTTATGGGTGAACTTAAAAGGACGGCTTAAGCTGTCCACAGTTAATTTTTCTGGGGGGTGGGGCTGTATGTGATTTTGCTGGGGTCATTTTTCATAATAGCCACTTAAATCTATATGATCCATATCCATGTTATCATTCACATCCATATCATACCTCTCACCAATACTCATCTCACCAACATACATTTTTATATCTGCCTGATCTTTACTGTTGTTGTCTAATTTTAGAACTGGCTCAGATGTGTTTAAAGAAGAGAAATGAAGGCATGGCAAGTGTGGGGGAAACCATGGAGGACGTGGGCAGTCAGCAAAATGCTAATACTCTCAAAGAATGCATGACCATTAGCATTAACTGCGTTATCTCCAAACACTCATCTCTTACATCAACAATAAATCCTCATTTATATCTTCCCACAGCTTGATTGCGCAATCTCTCATAGCTTCAAGAAGCTGCGCTCGGCTTTGAGAATGTTTTCACCACGGCAACTGGTTACCCAAATGACTCATCAGTCCTTGATCTGATTGTTAGGAAGCTGATGGAGAGAGACCCAGATATGCAAATGCAGCGTAAAAAAAGACTAAAAAAGGAATTCAGAATCATTCCATAGCGATGGTGGTTCAACAGTCAGAAGAACTTTAACTCCAGTGATGTTGGTAGTTGTCTCCATTCTGCCACTGTGTCCTGGTGCAGTGGTTCTCAAGCCCAGTTCTAAGGACCTTATGCACTGCATATCTGTGTGTTTTCCCTGCTCTAAAACACCTGCAGGCTCAATAATTACCTTAAGAGTTGATTCAGGAAAGCTGAATCCAAAAAACATACAGCACAACAGCACCTCAGACCTGTTACCGGGAGATCACGACCCTAAAGCCTTCACCGGGGATATTCCCCAGTTAAAACAGCCTTCAATGCAAAATATAAGATTTCTTACTGTGAATTGAGTTAATTCCCAAGACACTGTGTTGATGGCCAAATCAAGTTCATAGTTAATTGCTGAACAGATTACTTTCCAGTCTGTTAGTACATTAAGAAAGTCCAGCATTTCATTCACCATTATATATGCCGTTTGCTCTGTACTTACTAACCTTGCCAACCTATTTTCAGATCTAAAGATGCACTAAACTTAGATACAGATTCAGATCATTTAGATAATTTAGAAATAACACGTAATCCTTGATATAGCAGCGCGATACAGCGGTGTTATATAGCAGTGTGTGGCCGAGTCAAGCTGGCTTGTGCCGGAGGAGCAGCAGCCAGCTCTAGTTTTTAAGTGTCTAGTTTTTTTTTCTGTCAATTGAAATATTCGTTTGGTTGGTTTATTTAAATGCAGTGTGAAACTCAAGCGCTGCATCATTTTATGGACACCAAAACCAAAAATGCACCCCCTTCTCAATGTTCCCAAACATAAGCAACGTTTCTATAGTATTCTTTAAGCCACAATAATCAAATGCAGATCTATTTGGGCTTTCTTAGAGACTTGACAGTACGAACAGTAATTAGTATTGTTTTAAATCAGTTTGTGGATCTATTAAAATCTTATAGATTTCTCTAGAAATATAGGCCTGTGCAAAATTATTTTTGGCCAAGTATGAAACTGTAATGCATTCAGTCACATATTAATTCTTCAGATATAAATTAACTGAAAATTATAAATCAATAAAATCAATTGCATTAGCACTTCAAAATGTCAAAATGTGCATAGAACATGAAAAATATCATTTTGATGTATGAACAATAATCTTAATTATTACGAGTATAACGGTACCATCATGGGTTTGAGGTGTTTGAACAGTGAACGAAAGGTGAGGAAAGCAGCTATTGAGACAAACAAAAATAGAGGGACCAAAGAGACTGAAAACAAAAAAACCCCACAAACTGAAATTAAACAAATGAAACAAGACTTAACCAAATCCACAGCTTACAGTATTTCTGTGCCTTAAAGAGATTCAGCACAAAGCCTTAATATTTGTCTGTTTCCTCTGCTCCTAACTGCAAAACTGCAACTACAGTTGAACAATCACTGTACACATTTTAACAGTTAACGTTAGTGACTTTCCATGTCATGTGCAAATGACACACACTACAGGCTGTACCACCTACCTTGGGGTGAGAGGGGGGACTATACAACACTAGGTGGAACAAACTGTAACTTTCACATAATTTCTTTGTACCGTTACACCCGTACTGATTATACTACTGTTTCTACTACTAGCAACAACAACAACAACAACAACAGTTTACAATAAGACTAATCTGGCCCCACGCATTTGACACCACATATGCAAGACAACACTGGTATCCTCGAAGGGTGTACCATCTGACCTGAAACAAACAAAAAAATAATCTGGGGGAATGCTAAAATCCTTCAGTAAGAAAATATACAGTACAACCTTTTAATAGAAAAAAAAGGAGGTTGAAACATTCAAAACAGACAATATCATTTTTTACTATACAGCTACTTTCTAAACTTCACTCTTATTTTGATACCACAATCATTACATTTTATTATCCTTTCTCCATTCTTAAGGAAGTTGATTTCTTATCCGACATTATCACAAATATCTGATAATCAAAGCAAAGCAGTCCAGCTATAGAGTGTACTCTATAATTCACACAGTAAGTCTTTATCACAATGTTCTTTAAAACACCACCACAAAAGCAACCTTTAATGACTAATGTAAATCTAGACAGGTGATAACTGCTGGGTGAGAACAAGTGCATAAACATAAAGGCCGCGTGACAGCAAGACTTTACTGAACAAATGTTTAAAATAATTATTTGAAAAGGTCAAACAAAAGAAACATCAGATTTCTTTGACATTGTCAAATGCAAAGAAACGTCCGTATATACTTCCGCAGATTCTTACCTGTGTCAGACATGGCTTGGGTACAGCTACCATCACTGCTACTGGGTACCATACAGGACATATTTGGCCGGATGTGCCCATGAGGATGGCCTTGCTGCTGTTGATGTAAGTGAGACATTTGCTGTGGGTGAGTGCTCGGGTGTCCCATGGCTGGGTGTCTGAGGGGAACCTGTCCACTTTGGCCCAAAGGTGCACAGTTCCCCATAGCTGGGGCTTGCATCTGGTTCATCATCCCTGGGAACTGTGTATGAGGACCTTGAGTACCAGGCTCCAAGCCAGGACAGTGCATTGAGTCTGCTTGGCCGTGTAGTCGCTGCTGTAACTGCATGCTTTGTTGGGCAACTCCAGGGGGCAATGCACCCTCACCAAAGTGCATTTGACCGGGGCCTGCAGGAAGTGGCCGACTGCCCCTGACCATGTGAGAGCTCTGGTTGCTCATTGACTGGAGCAGCTGGGCCATGGATGTGTTTGGAGGTAGACCTCCAAGCCGGGGCACTTTCCTCATCTGCTCCGAGGGAGGGCATGGTGGCCTGGGGCCAGCCATGTCTGGTTTTAGCATACTGTAGACCATGTTGTCGTGACTGCCACTGTTGAGCGGCTGTTTGCGCTTCCGTAGAGGGTCACGCTGCTGGGCCATGAGCTTGTCCCGCAAGGCTGCACGTCCACTCTGGCCCTCGGGCATGGGCATGAGCATGGTGGAACTTGGTGGCAGCATGGGATTTAAAGTATTGGGCCCTTCAACAGCCCTGCTACCACTGCTACCACCACCACTGCCACTTCCACCACCAACTGGGCAAGGCATCCCACTGCCCCCACTTCCGTTACCACCACCACCGGCAATGCCAGTGCCTCCACTCCCCATGCCCCCAGCACCAGCACCCATTCCCGCACCAACACTCACACCAGCACCACTGACACCCATCCCACCACTGCTACCACCTAATTTGTTTTGATTTGCTAGCTGTGCTTTGGCTGCTGCTGAAAGGAGACTGCTGGCAGGGAAAGAGGCAGCATTGTGTTGGTTGAGGATCTGGTTGAGGGGCATGCCCAGGAGTCCGGGGTGGTTCTTCTGGGGGGCACTGCTGCCTGAGGCTGGAGGAAACATGGGGTTGTGCTGACTACTGATCGCATTACCCATCAGAACCTGGTTGGGGTCTTTGTACTGGTGGAGTGTGTCGGGCTTGGCAGAGGGGCTGGAAGGCAAGGCAGGTCTGGGTGAACCCATGGAGGATCTGGGTGACCGTGGTGGAACCTTCATGCTGCCACAAGGGGCCTGGGGCCCTGAGGGCATGGCAAAGCTCCCGTGGTCTGAGGAGGTGGAAGAGGAGCGGGATCGCTGTGGAGAGGCCTCCATGCGGCCAAGTGCAGGCCCAGACATGTGAACAGGGGATGTAACGGGTGAGGGGGAGATGGATGTGGCTGCTCCATGCTGAGTCCTCTGCATGTGCCCACCGTGGCCAACCGGCCCAGGTTTCACCGTTGGTAAGGGAAGGTTGCTTGGCAATGGGACGATAGCAGGAGGGATGTTTACATTCATCATTGGTACCTGAGAGTGGGCATTGGGCTGGAAGTTGGATGGGCTTGGGTTTGTCATGGGACTCTGAATGACCGGTTTACTTGGTATAGGGTCCAGGATTCCCAGAGGGTCCTTCTCTGAGGTCAACTGTTTTTTCTGGAGAGCACATAAAGGGGGAATAGCAGAGGGAGGAACAGGATGAGATGCAGACTGGGCCTTGTGATGAAATACTGCTCTGGTCATTTCCATGCTAGGTTGGTAGTTGACATTACAATGTGGCTTTTTCATGATGGGGCTTTTGTTGGGGACTGGGGGAGAGAGAGGCGTGTTAGTCCTTCCAGCCATAGCACAGGACAGCTGAGTGACAGGAGAACCATGGATCATGATACCAGGAGGGGAAAGGGGTATCCTGCTGTTGCCATGAATTGGGCTGGGGCTGCCAGCCCCCTGGAGGCCGCAGGCATTGCTTCGTGCAAATCCATCCGGACTGCCCAAAGGGTCAGTTCTTGGGGACAGAGAGCCATCCCCGTAGACCTGTGAGCCTGAGGAAGGGCTAAGCATGCCTCCAGGCCCGCTGCGGTAGGGGGACTTAGGCCCTGGCTCACTGCTGCCCAATCTTTGTCGAGGGTAGCCGGAATAATGCTCCGGCTGCTGAGAACCACTCATATCCGCGGAGTAGTGCCGTTGACCTGCTGCCATCATCATCTTGAATGGGTTCTTGCAGTCAGGCAGCGCTGAATTGGGCAGCCCATCATGGGACTTATTCCTTATTGCTCGAGGGGTTGCAGATCGCTGGATGGTAGGGGCCATAGAGGTGGCACCTGCTTGGGAAGCAAAAACAACAACAAAAAAGCATAATTATAAGAGTGTAACGGTTTAACACAGACCCATGCTAAAAAGCAGTTTAAAAACACATTTGGTAAGTGGAAAATAAAGTGATGTACTTGTGCCTCCGCTGGGACCGGTCAGCGTTAGGGAGTGGTGCGGCAGCTCCATACTTTTGTGCAGAGTGGCTACAGCAATGAGCTTTCTCTTGTGGATGCAAAGCTTTGTGACATCCTCATCGGCCTTCACATCCTCCGCAGTCCTCTGCTTGACAGCGGCCCCAGGATCGAAATTAAACACCTGGGGAAACGGAGATTCTTAACACAACTCGGCCCTGCCTGTTGCTGGCTTTCAGCAGTCAGACATTTGCATCTGAATGCATATTCACTCTGACCTTGCATATTAAAACTGTGACCTACTTACTTCAACAGCTTTAGTGAAATAAGGCAATGCAAATTCATTCATATTTTTTTTTTGACCAAAGAGGGTGGTCATAGTGTATAGGATTGCTGGTCCAAGGTGCAGAACATACAAGGTAACATAAAACTACAAGCATGCTCCAGTTTACCTACTGGAAGGTAGTACTGCAACCAGAAAAACTGAGGGATTTTGACAAATATGATAATCGTGATTATGTGGAGCAATCTTGTGATGGTTGCGTGATTATAGTTGTAACTTTGACAGCCACAGCACATTCTAAAGGAACATTTATGATTTACATAAACACCATTGTCAAAACACTTACACTCACTCAATACTTAATATCTGATTTTTAGCAATGTCAGCATCATGCACTTTCATTTGATAAGCAGTAGCTTGGGCCTCAGACATGTTGCAAAATTAAATATATTGAAGGAATACTTGTACGGTCATTGTGTCTACGTGATACTGTCTCACAGCTTTGCAGGAAATAAGTAGGTGAAATCAGCATGAATGTCCATGCCCACCTTGAAAGGGTCTTGTTTGTGTAGAGTGGTGACTGTCACCAGTCTAGAATGTGCTTCTAAGGTCCAGAAGGATGGCAATGCATTTTTGTATTATCACAGAATATTCTGTAGAACTTAATAACCATCAATAGCATCAATAACCACATGAACGGCACTGTATTTCATCACTTTACCAACCAATGATCTTTGGTTGCATCAGTAATGGGCAAAATATTAGATATCAACTGTCACAGCTTGTTAGCACTGTTAGCATTTATAGCATCACAGCTCTGGAGAAATTGTGAACCCCACTAAATTGTGAATTCTGTCGACCATACTTCATGCTAAAAGGAAAATTTTCTATAACTCAAACTTTCCATTATTAAATTATGATCAGCCAAAATTCATATAAAACAAACTGTACAAAATGAATAGATGGAAAACCGTGAACTTCTGAGACACCTCCAAGGAAGTGAATTTAGAAGCTAATCTGAAATCAAGGTACAGGCCTAAGAGAACAGGTGAGACATGAAGACTGACCTTGGGGAGGATGAGCGGACACTCCAGGCCACACTTACAGGTGCCATCCGTGAGTAGATAGGACTTTACCTGTTCCAAGCAGGACAGCACTGAACCACTGGGACTACAGAACGAACACAAGGAGACCATCAACCATTAAATACTTTGTTCTAACACGTATGGACGTCACAATCATGACATTTCAGCTGACGATTAAGTGTCAAGTATGTGCACACGTCAAACTGTGTAGTGTATCAGTTCGACAGTACTGCCGGTGTTGGCTGCTAAGTAAACAGCAAGATGGTTAATAAGCTAGTTAAATGAACTTATTCTGCTAACATACATGCTTAAAACATGAGCATTAGCTACATATTTTTGTATGCACAAGTGATGGCTTTTAAATAATGCATGTGCTGCTTTCTTTTATTTACATTTATTTGCATCAACCCAACACACACAGTTCACTTTTTGTTTGCTGTGCCTTAATATTATTGCGAAAATCAATTGACTGCAGTCAGCTTAAATAACTGTGATTAGGCGATTACGTAATTGTCTTATTAACAGACCCTCAGTAACTTCAACTCACTTGGAAGTGCATCACACCTATGTTACACAAGTGGCCACTTGCAGCACAAGAGGAGGACAGGTTTTTTTTTTTAAATGTAACACAGTCGCCCTCGGCTATGTTAGCCTCACTGAGCTAATTATCTAGCCACGCAAACTTTGTAATGTGGAATCTTTTTAAAAAGTCTCAAAATAAAGGTTATAATTTGTGGTCAGTAATTGCCTTTCCTGTTTATACACTTTGCTTTAGAACGTGGCCCATTGCCTTTATCCTTTGTTGTTAGCTGTGTAGCATTTAGCTTGCTAACTAGCAAACTTGCAGAAGTTGTATCAGCAGTCATGGATAACGGATGGAGTAGTTTGCTACCTAAAACCCAAATATTAAGCACTATTTCATTGCTATTACATTAAAAAACAGCTTTTTTGGAGATTGAAAAGGGAATTGAGACAGGCTGCAAGGATTTCTGGGAAAGTGCTCAAAGTCGACACTTCCGTACACTTGATGCATCTCCCCGCCAAGGGCTCATGTAATAAACTTCTCTTAGGCTAAAATAGCACTGGAATGGCCCTCAGGATTGCATCTAATGTTTTAGCTTTAAAATACTAATTAAGTGAATTTTTTATGGTTCTGGCTAATAAACAGCTTGCCTGTGTTTCGGTTTTGAAAAGGGAATTGTGGCAGATTTCTGAGCAAGTTCTGCTGCTGAAATCATTTATGCTGACTAGCTTACATGCTTGACCTTACAATGGGTCATCTAAGAAACCTCATTTGCTAATACTGTAATGGAACATCCCATAAGATGATATTGTGGACATTCCCTAAAGGAAAATGACAAGGGCATGTTAAAAAACAGTACTGAAACTAAGTAATGCACCTATTACACAACCAGAAATGTGTCAATTATAAAAGAAAGGTTTATACATTTATATATATGTATAGTAGCCTATGTATTGCACTGCAGTGTCTTAATTTAAATAATAATTTATTTAACCGAGTCAACAGGGCAGTGCAGAAAGCCAGAGAGTGAGACTACAATTAACTGCCATATCAATTAACCAATTACTGCATCTGGCCTAATTAATATACTATAATCCACTAATTGTTTCCAATCCTTGTAGATCTTATCACACATTCACTATTACAGGGGGTTGATGATGATGGATATTTCTGATTAAGACCGTATCCAGTACCTGATATAGACGACCCCAGTGGACTCCACTTTCCGCTGCCAGCCAATGGGCACCTGGGCAGGTGCAGGCTGCCCCTCCCCCTCCCCTCTTTCACTCTCCTTTCCGCCATTCATTTTTCTGGGTTAGTGCTCGACTCCGCCGGAGAGATCACACGTTCTTCACTGTCCCAACACCACGTGTCATTGTGTCTCTCTGAAACGGGAGGACAAGAGCACTACAACTTTCCTTTAACGAAGTCGGCTGCGGGGAAGCGTTTCCAGGGCGAGTGAGACGGGCTCACAGGGGGACCACGCCTCTGACGAGCCTCATCGCGATGCTACTAAACACAGATGGGGTTTCCCATGTCGGTCTCTGACCACTCAGAGCCATGAGCGCTTTGACGCAGTTCCAGGGCTACATAGGCGAAACACGACGTACCTCAGAGAAGAAAACACATGATTACAGTGCGAGCCACCGCGCAGCCCGCACTCAACACAAGAGGCTGCTGGCTAGGTTACAAGGCTGCTCCTTCCAAAGATGGACGCTTCTCATCTTCTCTCAGGCAGATAAGTTCAAACCCAAAATCCCCATCACATGCACGGCCGACGCATCAGAGCAGCCATGACTTGCATGATTCCTGTCAGAAACACAGAAAAGAAACAGGTTCAGAACGGGTACAAAATCATATTTAAGGTGCAGGTTGTGTCCTCAATTACTAGAATTTAGTGGAATTATACACACAAATATGGAAAATAAAAATTTCACTTAAAATATTAATAAGATTTAATCTTAACAGAAGACAATATAAAAATTTAGCTGTGTATATATACTGACTCTCAGTAAAAGGTGACTTTCAAACGAAGAAAACTGACAAATGTAGTGGCTTTCAGTGGGAAAAAATTAGTTAAAAACTAAAAATTAAGCAGCGTGTGGTGACATTTCACAGAGGAAAATGAAAAAAATAAGCAGCGTACAGTTGTACAGAAAACGTATAAATTAAGCAGAGCACAGTGACTTTAAATAGACAACAATATACAAATTAAGCAGGGTACAGTGACCTTAAATTAAAAAAAAAAAATCCACAAATGAAGCAGTGTGGAGTGACTTTCAACAGAAGACAATTCCACATTGACTTCATTGCTTGATCTCTTTTCTATCTCCTTTCTATTACTATTCTATTATTTCTATTCAAACACCAAAAATAAGACACTGACAGTTTTAATAACAAACGGTAAAAAGTGTTGGCTTTTTCACTACTGTAATCATGACATTAATTCCCATTAAATTATTACATTTAAAACTTCTGCCAAACTGATTTACTGTTTATACAGTGTTATTTTGGGGTCATTTTTCGCCCCCTGTACATGAGTTTTTTGGGTAAAAATCAATGTTGAGTATGGGGCCATTTTTATCCTTTGCCCCCTGTTATTTCTGACAATTCAAATCATCATTTTTAATTTTTTTTTTTTGAGAAGACATTACTTAACAAAATCATTAAAGGCATTTAGTAATTGAAACAGCACTAGTGGAGGACGGGGGTAAGCTATTTTTTTTACTAAAGGTCTGAATCCCTGGGTCCTGTCAGAACCTTGTTATGGAGAAGGGAGTGCACGCTCCACGCTGCATACATTTCAGCCCTGGGTGAATCATCCTCTCTGTGTGTTTCCTGTTGTGGATGACTAATACTGTAGAGCGGGACCAAACACACAGTGAAAGCAGGAGGATATGAAAAGGTATGAATCCTCGCACTTGTCACATACGTCAGTGCAAAATGAAAACGTTAGGGTGGCTTTTACTTTGTATTTGTGAAAGCACAGTAGGTCCAGTGTATACAATTTTATTTTAATTCACATTCAAATGGAAAAACTATGCCATATAACCCCGAAAATAAGAAATAAAATGTCTTGTCTAGGTGAGAATGAAGATGCTTTAGCTTCAGACAACAGGAAACTGCAGCTTCTATAATGTTATAAAATAAGCATCCAAGATAATAAATTAGAATTGCAGTTAGGCTTCTGTTGTATTAGTTTTGCCAATTTCTTACTTAAAACAACCTACAGGTCTGCGACCCAACCTAACAAGGCCCGAAAAAAAGGAGTTTGAGCCGGTTTTCACGTACAACATTCCTATGTTTGTTTTCCAATTAGTGATTATTTTTATGTATGAACCTCAAAATCGCAGGTACAGGTTGGATTCAGGCTTCAATTTCACGCAGGTGAAAAATTAAAATTTTCAAATATTCTATTGTTACTCGCTCAAATATTTGAACATAATACGTAAAGACGTTTTAATAATAGAAAAAAAATTATATTCTTACTGTTGACCAAATTATTATTATTACTATTAACAACACTACTGCATAATTGTATTTATTTAACACAACTGCAATCCTACAAGTTAATAATTTTTTTTTTTTTACTGTTAATTAATTATTTCATAACAAGTTGCGTTAAATTGCTGATCTACCCAATCTGGCAACCTTGATCTTGCTTAACCATGGAGGTTTAATGAAGGTTTTAAGCTGCTCAAATCAGCTTTATACTGGAGCATGCCAGCTTTAACAGCTAGTACAGTCTGAATAACGTTCTCGTATATTCTCTGTAGGTAACCCAACTGAGAGCATGCTAGCTAGCTAGTAAACTGATACCGTCGCCTGAAATTGCAGGAGTCTTGAAAGCTGTGCCATTTCACAAGTCACCATCGAGTCCGACATGCAGACCTGCAGCTGCGTGCTACTGGTATATTGCTTGATAAAAGCTTGTTTCCCCACAGTAGTGCCTGGGTTTATATAAGTAGTGAATGTGATGGTTATTTGAATAGCTTTAATGTTTTTGAATATTTCAATAATTAAATGTATTGAATACTACCAAACACATTGTTGCTGTCCAAAGAAAATCTTCAAAATAGTAACTTTACAGAGCAGGCAACATTTCTAGTGGTCTATTCATCGTGAAAATGGAGATAATGTTTTTTTTGGACAGCAATGATGTGTTACAGCAGTACACAAAATGTATCACAGTATTTTATTTAATAAGTTGAAACAGGCACAACAAACATCAACTCAACAAAATCAACAGAGACTTGCAACTCAACTATTACTGGAACACCAACGAATCAGACTTCGCCTCAAAGTGGAAGAATCATGGAGAGGCGTCTCTACTCAGTCGGTTACCTTTCAGCTAGAAACAAGCAAAGCATCAACAGTACCAATAAGGCCAGCCCAGAGCTTAAACTTCAGTCTTAAGGGAGAAACTTGCCAGACAAACTGACTATTTTCCTCAAAAGAAACAGAGCTGGCCGAAGCTGACGTTTTATTCGCCAGCTTCATATGAGAATTTATCATTCCACCTTAAATGGTGCTGTGTTCAGGCGCTGGAACGTAAGTGCAGCACCACTTAAGGTGGAGCAGAAAATTCGAATAAGAAAGTGGCAAATAAAAAGTCAACGTCAGCTTCATACATTCACAATAATTTTGCTGTCTTTTCTGTAAACTTCGTTCAGCTCAGCTGTTTTGGTTTCTGTAGTCATCTAAATACTAAATACAACTAGTGGTTGTTTTTAGTTACTAGTGGTTGTTTTTAGTTGGCTAGTTTTAGTGCTGAGCTCGTTTTTATTTTAATCCTATGCTCACAATTTTTCCAAGAATTATAATCTTTAACTTTTAACTTTAGTTTAATAAGTCTTGGATTTTGTATTTTATTTGGAAGGGCAAAAGAAATTAATTAATTAAAAATTAATACACAGTCACACACTACTAACATGCTGCCATTAAAAGGTGTTATTACCGTTACCATTATTTTTAGTGTTCAGTGTCGAAAGCGCTGGAGAATGCACGCTGACTTGTTTCAGACTTGAAGATTAGGACTTGGGATACAACTTGAGACCTGCCTGTAATGTCTTGGGACTGTCTTGGGAAGTGTCAAGACTCAAGACTTATTTGTTACTTGCACCTCTGCCATTTTCATTATTTTATTCATTTATTTAATTTTCACAAAATTAGAAAATGCAAGCTTTCCTTTACAAAATTAAAATTTCATGATGAAACAACTGTCTAAAAATTACATAGACGAAAATCGTGTTTCATTAACTTTCATCCAAAATTAAGAACGTTTCTGCTTCTGCTGTAAAGCTACTATTTGGAAAAAACATTCCTAATTGTGAATGAAAGTTAAATCTCTATGGATTCAAGCATGACAAAACCAGTATCCATCACAGAGAACTGTGGTCCATTTTGATCTATAATGTGTTCCATAATAATTTTAAATTTAAATAACATAAATCATTGTGAATTGGCCAATATAAACACAGTTTATATTCAGCTATTCAGTTCTTTACCAGGCGAGAGCGTTTCTTGGAGAATCTCTAGTTGATGTATTTTGCATTAATGACCAAATCATTTTAATGGATTACACAAACAACATGAAAGCAGTCTTACACATCGGCTAAGCACTCCGGTATGAGTAGCTGCCATTGTTGATGCTCGGCTGCTGTCAGGTTAATGCGTGCACGTGAACATGGGAAGCGGTCTGATCCTTGTGTATCAATGACGGAGAGGTTTGAAGAGTGCCAAAAATAATGTTTTCAAAAGCATTAGCCAGTTGTTGAGAGGGAATGGGCGTGAAAATGCTGAAACAGACCCAGGAAAAATAAATAAAGAATTAAAAAACTACATCTTGCAGAGAATTATCAGGCCTTCTGGCTATACCTTCCTCTCCATCTCTCTTCCATGCACCACTGGTAAAACTTCTATTTTTAAAATATATGGTTTTAAAACACAGTTAGCCATTATGATAGGGTTATAATGAAGGGTGCGTTCTTTCGCTTCTGCACTGTACCCCAACTAAGGCTCACTGATATTAAAATGTAGTTTGTGAAAAATGGGCTGATTCTTAAAAAGGTTTTGGTTTGCAGCTGCCATTTTTCACACATAGAAAGATCTAAAAGACAATAAATGCAAGATGCTAATTTTTTTTCCATGAAATGTATCAAATGGCAAAGGCAAAACTACAGTAACAGACGTGAGCTACTGTCTATAATACATGTGGTGGTGGTGTGTTGGTTTGTGTTGTGCTGGTATGAGTGGATCAGACACAGCAGTGCTGCTGGAGTTTTGCAAACATCCTTTTAAGTTCTGTGCTTAAGGCTGAAAGATACAGGCAAAATTGAATATCATGATATTTTCCAAAGCAGATGCGATACCATTTAAGGGACCCCATTCCACATTTTTCTATTCTCCCCCAACCACCAAGGACCACTTATGTTATTTGTGTGACTTTATGTACCAAAAACAGTCATAATTCATTTTTACATGACCATTTTCTAATCTCTATTTATCTGCTACAACTGAACATGCTGTTTTTATTACTGATATATCGTCAGTGTCCATAGAAAACCATGCATCTCTATTTTTGTTGATTTTTATCTTTCTACATTGTTTCAACACACCAGCTGTCCTTTACGTCGTGTGAAAATTTCATGATGAATGGACCAATAGAAATGCTCTAAAAATCACTTGGAATAAATTTTCTTTACATTAAGCTCCAGTGAAAGGCAAGAGTGTTTTTGTGTTCTCCTGCAAAAAAGTCCTATGTTGGAGATACTTGTTTTTGTTTGGACAGAGACAATATGTAAATTATT